GGCGGCGGGGATTTCTTATCCCCCTCTGTCAAACGAAGGGAGCAAACTCCGAAGGCAAACGGGCTTGGGCTCTGATATTTGATTTTTTTCTAGTTCCAGGGGCCGCTGTGTGCTCTGCAATTAGATTGACACATGTACAACATCCCCAGCCATTCAAGGGGGTTCGCAGGGACACTCCAAAGGGATTTTTTTTTTTTTTTCCTTTTTCTTTTTGGGTGGAAGATATTAAAGAGGTATCTGTTGTTTGGCAATTTTGCTAAGTCTGTCTTCATTACTTCAACATTGTGCATTTGCTAATTTGGAAGCCCCTTCCTATTGACAGCTCTGCTCCATACACCTGCAAGCAATTTGCAGAGCTCCAATATAGGAGAATTGCAGAGATGGCAGCTCGCACCTATTTTATTTTTTTTTCTTCGCTTTTCTCAATGCACAGCAAATTTGGCTTTCAGTGCGTTATCTCTTTTGTTAATGCAAAAAGATTCCCTGGGCGAAAAAATTGCTCATAATTACCAGAGAGATGGGGAAACTGCATTAGAATAAATAAACCTGAAATTACTGTAATTATGTTGTGTTTGATGGGCTCGGCTTGTAATCAAGAAGAGAATACAGTGAAATGATGCTGACCCTCTTGGGTTTGCAGCTGTACGCGCACTTTGGGGTCTTTTTTTGCAGAAAAGAGTCATTTTGATCATCATTAAGCTGTGTGTAACCTATTTCAGAAGTGTTTGAAAATGAGGGGCACTTTTTTTTTTCCCAACAAGGAAAAAATATATCTCAAAATTACATTTTGCCATTTACAGGCTCATCCATAAGGTTGTGTTTGCGGGGTGACAATTGTTAAAGGTATAATATTCGAAATCAGGACTTAATCATTGTAATGAGGTATTGTTTCAATATAAGCACCTTTGGATTATTCATAGTTTAATTAATATCCTCATTATGAAAATCTTCGAATCAGATATTTGATGAACTACTTGTCAGCAACAAGGCAGAATTAATTAGGCCTGTATTGAGATTAACATTTTCAAATGTACAATTATAATAGACTCTAACTCAAGACCGCCTCGCTGAAAGAAAACTAATAATTTCTCTATTTGAACTGTTAGCAAGACGTTATTGAATTAGGAGAAGCTAATGTATCTTTAAAGCGCTCCGAG